ATGTTGCTGTGAGCCAGTGTTTGGACATTGCTATGATTTCAGGCATTGTTGCGGTGAGCCAGTGTACATTGCTATGAGTCAGGGTATGTTGCTGTGAGCCAGTGTACATTGCTGAGTCAGGGTATGTTGCGGCCATGTAGCAGGGTATGTTGCTGTGAGCCAGTGTACATTGCTATGAGTCAGGGTATGTTGCGGTGAGCCAGTGTACATTGCTATGAGTCAGGGTATGTTGCTGTGAGCCAGTGTACATTGCTGTGAGCCAGGGTATGTTGCCATGAGCCAGGGTATGTTGCCATGAGCCAGTGTACATTGCTATGAGTCAGGGTATGTTGCTGTGAGCCAGTGTACATTGCTATGAGTCAGGGTATGTTGCTGTGAGCCAGTGTACATTGCTGAGAGCCAGGGTATGTTGCCATGAGCAGTGTACATTGCTATGAGTCAGGGTATGTTGCTGTGAGCCAGTGTACATTGCTATGAGTCAGGGTATGTTGTGTGAGCCAGTGTACATTGCTGTGACCAGGGTATGTTGCCATGAGCCAGTGTACATTGCTATGAGTCAGGGTATGTTGCTGTGAGCAAGTGTACATTGCTATGAGCCAGGGTATGTTGCTGTGAGCCAGTGTACATTGCTGTGAGCCAGGGTATGTTGCTGTGAGCCAGTGTACATTGTTATGAGTCAGGGTATGTTGCCGTGAGCCAGTGTACATTGTTATGAGTCAGGGTATGTTGCCGTGAGCCAGTGTATATTGCTATGAATAACAAAAAAAGGCACAATACCGTGACTGGAACGATACACAAATAACCCACACATAAAAGAGAGAAGCTTACGACGACGTTTCAGTCCGACTTGGACCATTTACAAAGTCACACTAGTGTGACTTGTAAATGGTCCAAGTCGGACCGAAACGTCGTCGTAAGCTTTCTCTTTTATGTGCGGGTTATTTGTGTTACATTGCTATGAGTCAGGGCATGTTGCTGTGAGCCAGTGTACATTGCTATGAGTCAGGGCATGTTGCTGTGAGCCAGGGTATGTTGCCGTGAGCCAGTGTACATTGCTATGAGTCAGGGCATGTTGCTGTGAGCCATTGTACATTGCTATGAGTCAGGGTATGTTGCTGTGAGCTAGGATATGTTGCTGTGAACCAGGGTATGTTGCTGTGAGCCAGTGTACATTGCTGAGTCAGGGCATGTTGCTGTGAGCCAGTGTATATTGCTATGAATCAGGGTATGTTGCTGTGAACCAGTGTACATTGCTATGAGTCAGGATATGTTGCTGTGAGCCAGTGTACATAGCTATGAGTCAGAGCATGTTGCTATGAGCCATTGTACATTGCTATGAGTCAGGGTATGTTGCTGTGAGCTAGAATATGTTGCTGTGAACCAGGGTATGTTGCTGTGAACCAGGGTATGTTGCTGTGAGCCAGGGTATGTTGCTGTGAACCAGGGTATGTTGCTGTGAGCCAAGGTATGCTGCTGTGAACCAGGGTATGTTGCTGTGAACCAGGGTTATGTTGCTGTGAGCCAGGGTATGTTGCTGTGAGCCAGGGTATGTTGCTGTGAACCAGGGTATGTTTCTGTGAGTCAGGGTGTTGCTGTGAGCCAGAGTATGCTGCTGTGAGCCAGGGTATGTTGCTGTGAACCAGGGTATGCTGCTGTGAGCCAGGGTATGTTGCTGTGAGCCAGGGCATGATGCTGTACTGCATTAGTGTGAAGATAATTTGTGTAGTGTCACTAGTCACTCACAGCTGGACATCCAATACCTGCTCAACTTACAGATTAATGTGTCTATCTGACTGTAACTATTGTGTCTCCAACCAAAACACTATTTACAGAAATTGTGCGCTTAGCATTTCTCTGTATTTTGGAATTTCACACATTCACTTTACTTTCACATTATATTTTTACAGCCTAGCTCTACTGCACACTTAACCCTTTGACTGTTTTGGTTGTATGTATACATCTTACGAGCCAGTGTTTCGGACGTATATACAGTGGACCCCCGCATAACGATCACCTCCGAATGCGACCAATTATGTAAGTGTATTTATGTAAGTGTGTTTGTACGTGTATGTTTGGGGGTCTGAAATGGACTAATCTACTTCACAATATTCCTTATGGGAACAAATTCGGTCCGTACTGGCACCTGAACATACTTCTGGATTGAAAAAATATCGTTAACCGGGGGTCCACTGTATACTCAATAATTCTAGCGGCTTCAAATCAAGCAGGAGAAAGCTGGTAGGCCCACATGTGAGAGAATGGGTCTGTGTGGTCAGTGCACCATATAAAAAAATCCTGCAGCACGCAGTGCATAAGAAAAAAAAACTGACCGTTTTTTTGGATTAAAACGCCAACTTTGAGGTGTATTTTCGTACAGTATTTATCTTTGTATCCTCGTTTGCATAGTCTCACGTGATAAAATGAAACACATATTACAGAAATAGAGATGATCTTGATTAGTTTCACGATGAAAACGACCTTGAAATTGAGCTCCAAATAGCGGAAATGTTCAATTTTTACCAATGTTCAAGAGTAAGCAAATCACACCACACGTCCAATACATGTCAACTGGGAGTCTAATATTCTTTCACTAGTGCACTGATATTATTTATACCATTTTTACAATAATGCAGTAGTCTGCATAACAGTAAATCTTCAATTTTTTGTATGAATAAAAAATCAAAATAGAAAGCAATAGTAATATAAGAGGGACCTAGAGACGTGACTGATGAACAGAGGATATGTTATTTTAGTGCCAAGAATGTCTACATTGTTTATTCTGGACTATTTTGAAATTGGCATCTTTTTTAATTTGTGTGAAATTGGCCAAATTACCAATTTCTGACCACTTTATTGGGTAGTTCAAATCGGTAAATGGGAGTTTTTTTGTACTCAATTGATAGAAAAAATGGAGTTCTAAAGAAATAGCTATGAGTTTGGTTGACTGGAACAACGGAATTAGCCAAAAATAGGGCTCAAAGTCGGCGAAATCGCCGATGCATATATGTCGCCGAGACCGCTAACTTCACGGAGCGTAATTCCGTGAGTTTTCGACCAAATTTCTTACTTTTGGTGTCATTACCATCGGGAAAAGATTCTCTATCATTTCGTAAGAATTTTTTTTTTTTTCCAAGAATTTTTCAACATAGAGTGACAGTTTCAGAAAGTGGCTTGCGACAGTCAAAGGGTTAATATATGCCTTAGATAAATTTGAAGCTAGTAGCTAGTGGTTCCAAAGGCAGAGGGAATGAAGCTAACTTCACAACATCAAAGTGCAGTGTGAAGCAGCAAGCATCAACACTGTAGCTGCAGAAAATTATCCACATGAGCTAGCCAGGATAATCCAATGTGGTGGATATACCAAGCAACAGATTTTAATGTGGATGAAACCCCATTATTTTGGAAGAAAATACTCTCTAAGACATTTATTGCTAAAGAAGAGAAGTCAATGCTTGGCTTCAAAGCTGCAAAAGACAAACAAACAAACTTTATTTTTTCTGTGGTACAAAAACTGCAGTTTTACATGTGGAGGGAAGGTGGGGGAGGGGTTGACCTAGGAAAGGTTGGAGGGAGGGGGTAAAGGAGGTTTTGTGTGTGAGGGGCTTGGACTTCCAGCAAGCATGTGCGAGCGTGTTTGATAGGAGCAAATGGATAACCGATAAATATAAAGGTTTATTTCTTCATAAAAGTTACAATGTGTAATTACAATTTTGGTTTGCTAGTACAAAGAAAGCCACTATCATGCCAGGGTATTTGGGGCAAATTAATCCTAATACATAATAACTACTTAAAACTATAAGATAATAGTGGTTAACTGTATTACAATTTTATTTAATCTTAATACTAATGCAAGGTAGTCAAGGTGGAGGTTTTTAAGAATAATAATCCTGAAGTTGCACATAAAAACAATACTACAAATAAAAGTTTAGGCAGTAATACTTCATGGATTGGCAGAAATTTAAAAGTCTAGAGGTCACATAATATACTGTAACTAATTAGCATTTGTTTTAGTTGAACTGGGTAATATTGAGAGATAAGATGATTTTTTAGCAAAGTCCAAAATTTATAAGTAGTCAGGGGATCCTTTACTGGTTCCAGTAGCGAGTTCCAGATCTTCAGGACCTTTATGTGCATAGCGTTTTTGTATAGTGTGAGACTGACACAAGGGATACTGAAGTGTGCCTTATACATCGATGGAGACAAATGGTTTTTAGAACTTGACGTGCTGTTGGAGTGTGAACAAGGTAACATTTACGAAGGGATTCAGGGTAACCGGCAGGCCACACTTGAGTCCTGGAGATGGGAAGTACAGTGCCGGCACTCAGAAGGAGGGGTGTTAATGTTGCAGTTTTATAACTGTAGTGTAAGTGTGCCTCTGGCAAGACAGTGATGGTATGAATGATGATGAAGTTTTTTCTTTTTTGGACCACCCTGCCTTGGTGGGAGAAGGTCAATGTGTTAATAAAATAATAAAAATAAAATAAAAAGATTATTAAGCACAAATAATTAAGACAGCCTAACATTCTTGCTAGGGGCTAACACTACTTGCCACTCACTATAAAGTAAAGAAAAAAATATTATAAGGTAAATAATGAGTGTACTGTATATGCATTTTACTTTTTTATTGTTTTTTTTATACCTAGTTCTATTGTTTATGTGATATAATGATAGTGTAAATGTGTTATTTTGGCATTTATATACATTTAAAAGTGAAAAAATAAGCGATTCACTTTACAGCGATATTCACTTTATGGCGATAACCTGGAACCTAACCCACTGTATAATCAGGGCCCTCCTATATAATGGTAGGCAAAATGAAGCCACAACTAGTCATAAGTCTGACAAGTTAATTACCTCCACCACTTCCTGCACTGAAGAATTCACACAAGATTAGCATTTCATGAAACACAATACACTATACTACTCTCAGTACTTCAGCATAAAAGAATGCCCAGAATTGTGTAACATTCTCAAGAATTCAGTTAACCTGGCACACTGACCGCAGATGTTGTCTTGAAGCATGATGTGGTCGCTGCTCTCGCTACCATGGCACGGTAACACTCCATCTAAAACAAATGATAAAAACACGTACATAAACCAAGGTAGTAGGTTGGTAGACAACATCCGCCCAAGGAAGTACTACCATCCTGCCAAGTGAGTGTAAAACGGAAGCCTGTAACTGTTTTATGTGACGGTAGGATTGCTGGTGTCTTTTTTTCTGTCTCTTAAACATGCAAGATTTCAGGTACATCTTGCTACTTCTACTTACACTTAGGTCACACTACACATACATTTTTTTTTTTTCAAAAAGTCGGCCGTCTCCCACCGAGGCAGGGTGACCCAAAAACAAAGAAAATCCCCAAAAAGAAAATACTTTCATCATCATTCAACACTTTCACCTCGCTCACATATAATCACTGTTTTTGCAGAGGTGCTCAGAACACAACAGTTTAGAAGCATATACGTATAAAGATACACAACATATCCCTCCAAATTGCTAATACAGTGGACCCCCGCTTAACGATCACCTCCCAATGTGACCAATTATGTAAGTGTATTTATGTAAGTGCGTTTGTACGTGTATGTTTGTGGGTCTGAAATGGACTAATCTACTTCACAATATTCTTTATGGGAACAAATTCGGTCAGTACTGGCACCTGAACATACTTCTGGAATGAAAAAATATCGTTAACCGGGGGTCCACTGTACATGTACAAGCATATATATACACACCCCTCTGGCTTTTCTTCTATTTTCTTTCTAGTTCTTGTTCTTGTTTATTTCCTCTTATCTCCATGCGGAAGTGGAACAGAATTCTTCCTCCGTAAGCCAAGCATGTTGTAAGAGGCGACTAAAATGCCGGGAGCAAGGGCCTAGTAACCCCTTCTCCTGTATAAATTACTAAATTTAAAAAGAGAAACTTTCATTTTTCTTTTTAGGGCCACCCTGCCTTGGTGGGATACAGCCGGTTTGTTGGAAAAAAAGACATGCAAGGCTTCAGGTATGTCTTGCTACTTCTATTTACACTTAGGTCACACTACATATGCATGTACAAGCATATATATACACATCCCTCTGGGTTTTCTTCTATTTTCTTGCTAGTTCTTGTTCTTGTTTATTTCTTATCTCCATGGGGAAGTGGAACAGAATTCTTCCTCTTCAAGCCATGTGTGTCGTAAGAGTCGACCAAAATGCCGGGAGCAAGGGGCTAGTAACCCCCTCTCCTGTATACATTACTAAAGTTAAAAAGAGAAACTTTTGTTTTTGTTTTTGGGCCACCCTGCCTCAGTGGGAAACGGCCAGTTTGTTGAAAGAAGACGACGACTTAAAGTGGACAAAATCACCAATGCATAAATTGTACCCAGACCACCAACTCTGCAACTGTGTAATTTAGTGTTGCTAAAATTTAATGAACCTGAGTATCTTGCTGATATCCTTGTGCCTTTAACATCTTGCTTGGGGTAGTTTCTGCAAGTTGCTTTACTGTCACTCTTATGATCATGATGATCATACTGTCATTCTTACGATCCTGATGATCATACCGTCACTCTGCAATATCAATTTTAGCATTCTATTTGTATTTATGGCTTGGTGTGTGAGCGCTTGTGAACTTTTGGAAAGAACAGACACTCGAGAATTATAAAATCCCAAACTACTACTGCTATTTTTTTTCAATGCACTGGCTGCTCCCACTGAAGCAGGGTGACCTAAAGAGAAAAACCAAAATTTTTTCTTTTTACAGTCGGTAATTTTTACAGGAGAATGGGTCACTAGCCCCTTGCTCCCAGCATTTTAGTCCTCTCTTACGACATGCATGGCTTACAGAGGAAGAATTCTTCTTTACTTCCTCCATGGAGGACTACTACTATTATTATTATTATATTTAGCAAATATAACATAATGCATACACCTAATTAGTTGGGTATTATAGGTATTATTATTATTCTTACTATTATATTTTATTATTCAGGGGGATATAGCTAAACCTGTAAGGCTTGCATCACTTAGAAAATGGGAAGTAATCATGCTTGATGCATGGAAGGAAAGGGGAGTTCCAGTTCACTGGATCAAGTCTGGGGTCTTCTGCACCATTCACTACTAGAGCACAAATTATATACAATAATAGAAGCAAATATTGGTTTTTACTTACAATATCTTCCAGAGTGATGGCTGCATTTTGTACTGGAGCAATTCTCTGGAAAATAACTGAACAAACAACCATTTTTGCCCAGGGAGATGAGAGATCTAAGATGAGCTTCATGCTATCACAGGAGCCACAATCTGTAAAAAATGAAGCATTTACTGTACAAATATTTATATATGTGATTTCAAATAAAGTTGTAATAAATAATGTCAATGGATAAAGAGAAGGGTGGATGGGGGCGTGAACCGTGACCTGTAAAATGACGGTCCGATACTCTACCATCTCGACTACCCAGGCCTCTACCAGGAAGGATTCGAAGGTAATACCTTACCTTTGAGGAGTTTCAAGAGTTTTTCTACTCCCGGAGCCTGGCCATGGGCCAGGTTTTGTCTGGTGCTAGCCTGATCAGTCAGGCTGCTGCTGGAGACACACTGCCCCACATATCCATCACAGCCTGGCTGATCAAGTAGATGGTGAAGATGCTTGTCCAGTTTTCTCTTGATGATGTCTACATTTGTTCCAGCAGTGTTTCTGATATCTTTTGGTAAGATGCTGAATAATCTGGGACCACAAATGTTGATACAGCTTTCCCTTATTGTGCCCACCACGCTCTTGCTCTTCACTGGGTTTATGTTCCACTTCCTCCCATATCTCTCGCTCCAGGATGTTATTATGGTAGTGTGCAGATTTGGAACCAGGCCCTCAAGTGCCTTCCAGGTATATATTATCATGTATCTCTCTCTCCTCTGTTCCAGTGAGTACATATTCAAGACTTCAAGGCATTTCCAGTAATTTAAATGCTTTACTGGCTCTATGCAGGCCATAAATGATGTCTGTATTTGTTCAAGCTTTGATATTTCTCCTGCCTTGAACAGGTACGTCAACACTGAGCAATATTCCAAATGGGGGAACACTAGCAATTTGAAAAGTGTCATCAATGGTATTATTTCCCTTGTTTTGAAGGTTCTCAATACCCACCCTGCCATCCTCCTGGCTGTTGTGACCTTCATCTTATGCTCTTTGAAAGAAAGATCAGTTGACATAATTATTCCCAAGTCTTTCACGTGTTCCTTTCCTTCTATTTGATGATTCTCGAGTTTTGTATACAGTGTTCCTTTTGAGTTCTTTCTTTCCATACCTAAGCAGTTGGAACTTATTACCATTAAACATCATATTATTCTCCACTGCCCACTGGAAAACATGCTTATTTCTTCCTGTAATTTTTCAGTGTCTTCTACAGTAGTGACTTTCATGCTTATTTTAGTGTCATCTGCAAATGATGATACAAAACCTTGAAGGGTGTTTTTATCCCTGTCTGCTACGAGGATGAGAAACAGCAGCGGTGCCAGGACAGTGCCTTAGGGACTGAGCTTTTTACTTCGCAGATGTTGGATTTTACTCTGTTTACTACTACTTTCTGTGTTCTGTGTGTTAGGAACCCCAAAATCCATCTGCCTACATTTCCTGCAATTCCTATGGCCCTCATTTTGTGTTCTATCACCCCATGATCACATCTATCAAATGCCTTTGCAAAGTCTGTGTATATCACATTTGCATTATGGATGCCTTCCAATGCCTCAATAACTCTGTCATAGTGGTTCAGCAGCTTTGGCAGGCATGATCATCCAGTTCTAAAACCACACTGATTTGGATTATGCCGGTTGTGCTATTCCATGAAATTTGTAATCTGATGTCTCATCACTCTTTCGAAGATTTTTATAATGTGGAAAGTTAGGGCTACGGGTCTGTAATTTTTAGTTATTGCTCTACTACCTTCTTTATGCAAAGGAGCTAAGGCTGCATTCTTTAAGGTCTCCAGTATTTCACCTAGATCTAAGCTTTCTCCACAGAATACTGAGAGCTTGTGCTTGTGGTACTCTGCACTTCTTTATAAATAGGGATTCCATGAATCTGGTCCAAGTGCTGAGTGAGTGGGCATGTTATTCATTTCAGTTTCAAAATCTATGGAATTTGTACTAATGTCAGTTAGCTGGTCTGCATAGCCTTCTACTAGAGCGAAAAATGTTTCTGAACTTTCTACCTTGCTGTCATTTAGTGGGTTGCTGAACACCAACTCACTCACTGCATTCCATTCTGTCAGAGGCACTAACTGTAACCCAACTGAACTCCTTCTCTCAGCCCAGGAGCTTTAAGAGTAGCCTGGGTAGTCGAGATGGTAGAGTATCGGACTGTCAATTTACAGGCTGCGTTTCGCTGTGCTCCCCGTCCACCACTACCAACCACAATGCTCCACCAAGCTCTCCACCATCACCAAGTACAATGTTCCACAGCAGCAAATATCACAGCTGCAAATATCAAAACAGCAAATATCACAGCAGCAAATATCACAGCAGCAAATATCACAGCAGCAAATATCACAGCAGCAAATATCACAACAGTGAATATCACAGCTGCAAATATCACAGCAGCAAATATCACAGTAGCAAATATCACAGCAGTGAATATCACAGCTGCAAATATCACAGCTGCAAATATCACAGCTGCAAATATCACAGATGCAAATATCACAACAGCAAATATCACAGCAGCAAATATCACAGCTGCAAATATCACAGTTGCAAATATCACACCTGCAAATATCACACCTGCAAATATCACAGCTGCAAATATCACAGCTGCAAATATCACAGTTGCAAATATAACAGTTGCAAATATCACAGATGCAAATATCACAGTTGCAAATATCACAGATGCAAATATAACAGTTGCAAATATAACAGTTGCAAATATCACACCTGCAAATATCACAACAGCAAATATCACAACAGCAAATATCACAGCTGCAAATATCACAGCAGCAAATATCACAGATGCAAATATAACAGTTGCAAATATAACAGTTGCAAATATAACAGTTGCAAATATCACAGATGCAAATATCACAGTTGCAAATATCACAGATGCAAATATAACAGTTGCAAATATAACAGTTGCAAATATAACAGTTGCAAATATAACAGTTGCAAATATCACAGCAGCAAATATCACACCTGCAAATATCACAGTTGCAAATATAACAGTTGCAAATATAACAGTTGCAAATATCACAGATGCAAATATCACAGTTGCAAATATCACAGTTGCAAATATCACAGCAGCAAATATCACAGCAGCAAATATCACAGATGCAAATATCACAGCAGCAAATATCACAGATGCAAATATAACAGTTGCAAATATTTTTTTTTTTTTATTATCACACCGGCCGATTCCCACCAAGGCAGGGTGGCCCGAAAAAGAAAAACTTTCACCATCATTCACTCCATCACTGTCTTGCCAGAAGGGTGCTTTACACTACAGTTTTTAAACTGCAACATTAACACCCCTCCTTCAGAGTGCAGGCACTGTACTTCCCATCTCCAGGACTCAAGTCCGGCCTGCCGGTTTCCCTGAATCCCTTCATAAATGTTACTTTGCTCACACTCCAACAGCACGTCAAGTATTAAAAACCATTTGTCTCCATTCACTCCTATCAAACACGCTCAAGCATGCCTGCTGGAAGTCCAAGCCCCTCGCACACAAAACCTCCTTTACCCCCTCCTCCAACCCTTCCTAGGCCGACCCCTACCCCGCCTTCCTTCCACTACAGACTGATACACTCTTGAAGTCATTCTGTTTCGCTCCATTCTCTCTACATGTCCGAACCACCTCAACAACCCTTCCTCAGCCCTCTGGACAACAGTTTTGGTAATCCCGCACCTCCTCCTAACTTCCAAACTACGAATTCTCTGCATTATATTCCACACCACACATTGCCCTCAGACATGACATCTCCACTGCCTCCAGCCTTCTCCTCGCTGCAACATTCATCACCCACGCTTCACACCCATATAAGAGCGTTGGTTAAACTATACTCTCATACATTCCCCTCTTTGCCTCCAAGGACAAAGTTCTTTGTCTCCACAGACTCCTAAGTGCACCACTCACTCTTTTTCCCTCATCAATTCTATGATTCACCTCATCTTTCATAGACCCATCCGCTGACACGTCCACTCCCAAATATCTGAATACGTTCACCTCCTCCATACTCTCTCCCTCCAATCTGATATTCAATCTTTCATCACCTAATCTTTTTGTTATCCTCATAACCTTACTCTTTCCTGTATTCACCTTTAATTTTCTTCTTTTGCACACCCTACCAAATTCATCCACCAATCTCTGCAACTTCTCTTCAGAATCTCCCAAGAGCACAGTGTCATCAGCAAAGAGCAGCTGTGACAACTCCCACTTTGTGTGTGATTCTTTATCTTTTAACTCCACGCCTCTTGCCAAGACCCTCGCATTTACTTCTCTTACAACCCCATCTATAAATATATTAAACAACCACGGTGACATCACACATCCTTGTCTAAGTCCTACTTTTATGGGAAAAAATTTCCCTCTTTCCTACATACTCTAACTTGAGCCTCACTATCCTCGTAAAAACTCTTCACTGCTTTCAGTAACCTACCTCCTACACCATACACTTGCAACATCTGCCACATTGCCCCCCTATCCACCCTGTCATACGCCTTTTCCAAATCCATAAATGCCACAAAGACCTCTTTAGCCTTATCTAAATACTGTTCACTTATATGTTTCACTGTAAACACCTGGTCCACACACCCCCTACCTTTCCTAAAGCCTCCTTGTTCATCTGCTATCCTATTCTCCGTCTTACTCTTAATTCTTTCAATTATAACTCTACCATACACTTTACCAGGTACACTCAACAGACTTATCCCCCTATAATTTTTGCACTCTCTTTTATCCCCTTTGCCTTTATACAAAGGAACTATGCATGCTCTCTGCCAATCCCTAGGTACCTTACCCTCTTCCATACATTTATTAAACAATTGCACCAACCACTCCAAAACTATATCCCCACCTGCTTTTAACATTTCTATCTTTATCCCATCAATCCCGGCTGCCTTACCCCCTTTCATTTTACCTACTGCCTCACGAACTTCCCCCACACTCACAACTGGCTCTTCCTCACTCCTACAAGATGTTATTCCTCCTTGCCCTATACACGAAATCACAGCTTCCCTATCTTCATCAACATTAACAATTCCTCAAAATATTCCTTCCATCTTCCCAATACCTCTAACTCTCCATTTAATAACTCTCCTCTCCTATTTTTAACTGACAAATCCATTTGTTCTCTAGGCTTTCTTAACTTGTTAATCTCACTCCAAAACTTTTTCTTATTTTCAACAAAATTTTGTTGATAACATCTCACCCACTCTCTCATTTGCTCTCTTTTTACATTGCTTCACCACTCTCTTAACCTCTCTCTTTTTCTCCATATACTCTTCCCTCCTTGCATCACTTCTACTTTGTAAAAACTTCTCATATGCTAACTTTTTCTCCCTTACTACTCTCTTTACATCATCATTCCACCAATCGCTCCTCTTCCCTCCTGCACCCACTTTCCTGTAACCACAAACTTCTGCTGAACACTCTAACACTACATTTTTAAACCTACCCCATACCTCTTCGACCCCATTGCCTATGCTCTCATTAGCCCATCTATCCTCCAATAGCTGTTTATATCTTACCCTAACTGCCTCCTCTTTTAGTTTATAAACCTTCACCTCTCTCTTCCCTGATGCTTCTATTCTCCTTGTATCCCATCTACCTTTTACTCTCAGTGTAGCTACAACTAGAAAGTGATCTGATATATCTGTGGCCCCTCTATAAACATGTACATCCTGAAGTCTACTCAACAGTCTTTTATCTACCAATACATAATCCAACAAACTACTGTCATTTCGCCCTACATCATATCGTGTATACTTATTTATCCTCTTTTTCTTAAAATATGTATTACCTATAACTAAACCCCTTTCTATACAAAGTTCAATCAAAGGGCTCCCATTATCATTTACACCTGGCACCCCAAACTTACCTACCACACCCTCTCTAAAAGTTTCTCCTACTTTAGCATTCAAGTCCCCTACCACAATTACTCTCTCCACTTGGTTCAAAGGCTCCTATACATTCACTTAACATCTCCCAAAATCTCTCTCTCTCCTCTGCATTCCTCTCTTCTCCAGGTGCATACACGCTTATTATGACCCACTTCTCGCAAATATCAGTTGCAAATATCACAGCAGCAAATATCACAGTTGCAAATATCACAGCAGCAAATATCACACCTGCAAATATCACAGTTGCAAATATCACAGCAGCAAATATCACAGTTGCAAATATCACAGCAGCAAATATCACAGCAGCAAATATCACAGCAGCAAATATCACAGTTGCAAATATCACAGCAGCAAATATCACAGCAGCAAATATCACAGCAGCAAATATCACAGCAGCAAATATCACAGCAGCAAATATCACAGCAGCAAATATCACAGTTGCAAATATCACAGCAGCAAATATCACAGCAGCAAATATCACAGCAGCAAATATCACAGCAGCATATGATGACTTCAAAATACATCTATCTATGGTGTGCATACAAAAGTTTATTTCCCAAAAGAGTACTAATAAAATCTAGATATTAATATTAATTTTATTTTATTAATTAAAATAAAAACAGTAGGACAACTAAAAAAGTGTGAAGATAAACAAACCTTTTATGCGAAGCTGCAGTTCATTACCGACATGAAACAGTGAATTTGGCAGAGGACCATATGGGAGCAGACTCTGTTTTTCAGATCTCCATGTTAGTTCCAGTACCATGGATACAAGTTGCTGTGGAAAAAATAAACACAAATGCCTTTTCTTATCTCTTGAAAACAAAAACAAAAAATTCTATTTTCTTCTACAAATGCTGAATACTGTTCAAAATGTTTCTTAAGTATCAACATATATCACTTCTTAGATTAGATTTTAGATTTTGGCACCAAAGTGGCTAGATTATTGTGCACCCCATATCCTTATTTCTAAGTGTAACGACATACTGTATACAGTGGACCCCCACGAATTCGCGTTTCTGAATTTATGGCTTCAGTAATTCGTGGACTTTTCCTTAGAACCTAACTAATAACTGTTTGAGGAAATCCCTGCAAATCTGCAGAATTTTTTTTTGTTTTTTTTTTCTAGGCAATATATAATTTTTTATGCATCTTAATGCTAAATATTAAAATATAATTTAATAATTTTCTAACATAAATATGCAATGTTAACGTAAATTTAGCAAAATTTCCATATAAAATATAATAATGTATAAATTAAACTATTACTGTGTATTTACCATACATATACCAAAGAAAATGGGGTTGCATGAATTACAGTATACAAAAGAAAATGGGATTGCATGAATAACAGTACATATGGGGGGTAACATCAGTATTTTACATTCTAGCACTGCAGGAGACAGCAATACAGTACTGTATACATATTTATCTTTACATTCTTTTCCTTTTATCAAGAGTTATGTATGAAGCTGAGTTTGAAATTATATTGAAGTGTTTCGGGGCATATTTAGGATTTAAACTATAAAAATAGGCATTTATAGGCATTTTTTTAACCACGTCCAGAATTTGCAGTTTTTCCAAATTTGCAGGTGGCCTTGGAACTTAACCCCTGCAAATTTGGGGGGACTACTGTACTATATTCAAAGGGAATTTTGTAATTAATACTGATCAGTGGCATAAATGAAGCCACATGGAGAAAAATAAGTCACTTTGTCTGACATTTTGGGGGGATATTGTAGTGAGTAATTTACACATGTTACTATGATAATCTAATGGCTATAATCATAACCATAATTTTAAAAATTATGGTAATGATTAAGCCAGTGGAAGGCCTCAATCAGATAACCAAAAGCTCCAGTTGTGGGTCATCATATGACTAAGACCCGTGTCAGAAAGCACTTGTCCTGTTTCCCGGGGAACCTTATTTAACCTACCCTGTTACTATGTATGATATTTGCACTTACAAGTACCTGTACCTCAATAAACTTACTTTATATATAGACCTACCACTGAGAGGTCCTCCACCTTCCTTTACGGCACTACACAGTGCTTTCCTTATCGTCTATTTTATTTTTTTCACATGTAATTGTGTCATATTCCATCATTCTTCTGTGTAACATTTTAGCAAATGTAGCTTGTAGCTAATAATTAGAGAAATGGCAAAAAAGTGAAAGACTATGAAGCTCTCAGGCATCTATTCTGATATCTATATTGAAGGCACCTGTGAAGGGACTAGAGATGGAGTATGCCACGGTCAAACTGCCGTGGGATTCATCTGTAAAAACATGTGTTTGTGGTTACAGTGATGGCCCATGCTAACCTCTCTATGGTATACAGAAATATACCTAGTTGGATGAATGTTATTATAGGTAGCTGGTCCACTGGTTAACACACTGGCCTGTGAGTTTTAAGACTCACTTGCCATGGGTTCAAACCTCACCTGTTCCCTGATTTGTTTACAGTCTTGTTATTATGATTTTGAGAGTCATTGTACTCACTGATAAACAGTGCTTAACACTTGGTGGTGCTGATGACATTGAAACCCACAACTGAATGAGCTCTTTGACTGGCACAGTTGCTGAAGGATTCCTCGAGTGTCCCCAGAACACTTGCCAAGTGAGAAGCTCTCCCACACAATCACTGCAAATGGCAGATTTTTTTTAAATTATACATTTCATGGAAAAATACAGGTTTATCTTTATTTACTGGGAATAACATTCCTGTAAAAGTATGATGTAAGCAAAATAGGTAGAAATGTATTATTATTAATATTTTATTTCTCAATACTGGCCATCTACCACTGAGGCAAGAGGAAATTTTAGCATCAAAAGACTTTTTATAGCATATCAGATTGACCTGAATCCTATTTACAAGGATTTTGGAAAGCTTGGGATAAAATAATTTAAATTTATAAATTTTATATTAATTCTTCCTCTGTAAGTCATGCATGTCATAAGAGGCGACTAAAATGGGAGCAATGGGCTAGTAACCCTTTCTCACGTATACTTTAATAAAGTTAAAAAAAGAAACTTTTTTCTTTTTGGGTCACCCCGCCTGGGTGGGATGTGGCTGGTGCATTCATAGAAGAAATTTTATGTTATGTATAGTGGTTGCCTAACATTTTACTGTGCAAGAAATCATAAGATTATTGTAAATTCAATGTTGTTTATTACACACAAAGATTTTCAAGCAGCAAGTGCTCCTATCTTAACAAATTTTAAGTTTTTATACACTGAAACAAACAAAAAATGTATAATGCTATGTAAAATTTATTATGTTAACTAAAGAGATATATGGTTGAACCTTAACCCTTTCACTGTCGAGACCCCTCCTCACAAACTTGCTCTCAGTATTGAAGAATTTAACCCTTAAATGGTCCAAACGTATATATACGTTTTTTCAACATCTGAAAGTATGTTAAAAAATGTAGATTTTTTTTTTTTTACATGTGAAAACATGTAAAAAAACTTTTATCTACTTTTTTTTTTGTTATATTTGAAAATATGTAAAAAAAAGTAATCTACTTTTTGTAGCACTACGAATTTGAACGTCGATCTGTTTGGACCGTTTAAGAAGGTTAAAAAAAAAAAAAATTCTTAAGAAATAATAGAGAATCTTTTCCCGATGGTAATGGCACCAAAAGTACGAAATTTGATGGAAAACTTGCTGAATTACGTTCTCACAAAGTTAGCAGTCTTGGTGATATTTACGCATCAGTGATTTTGCCCACTTTGAGCCCTATTTTTGGCCAATTCCATTGTTCCAGTCAACCAAACTCATAGCTATTTTGCTAGAACTCCTTTTGTTCTATCGATTGAGTACAAAAAAACCACCCATTTACCAATTTCAACTATCCAGTAAAGTGATCAGAAATTGGTAATTTGGCCAATTTCATGCACAATTCAAAGAAGGCCAATTTCAAAATAGGGTCCAGAATTAACAATGCAAACATTCCTAGCACTATAATAACACTTTCTCTATTCATTAGTCATGTCTCCAGGCCCCTCTTATATTACTCTTGCTTTCCATTTTAGATTTTTATTTACACAAAAAATAAAAGATTTCCTGTTATGCAGACTACTGCATTATTGTAAAAATGGTATAAATAATATCAGCACATTTGTTAAAGCATATTAAATCCACCAGTTGACATGTATTGGACGCGTGACGTGATTCGTTTACTCTTAAACATCGGCAAAAACTGAACATTTCTGCTACTTTGAGCTCAATTTTAAGGTACTTTTAGTCTGTAAACCATTCAAAATCATCTCTAGTTCCATTCCATCAAATGAGACCAAGAAAACGAGAATACAACCATATACAGTGGACCCCCGCTTAACGATCACCTCCCAATGCGACCAATTATGTAAGTGCGTTTGTACGTGTATGTTTGGGGGTCTGAAATGGACTAATCTACTTCACAATATTCCTTATGGGAACAAATTCGGTCAGTACTGGCACCTGAACATACTTCTGGAATGAAAAAATATCGTTAACCGGAGGTCCACTGTATACCATACGAAAATACTACACTGCAAAGTCGCTATTTTAAATGAAAAACACGATCGGAGTTTATTTTCTTATTATGCACTGCATGCTGCATGATTTTTTTTATTCTGTGCACACTGACCACTCAGACCCATTCTCTCATATGTAGGCCTACCAGCTTTCTCCCGCAACATTGGAAGCCGCTAGAATTTTGGTGTACTATTACGGAACCAACACTGGCTTGCAAGCCGTAATATTACAGGACTGACAGTGTAAGGGTTACACAATGTAGGGGTTAAGGGCGCCAATCCCTCACCCAGTTAAGAATCTGCATATAACTTTTGACTGCCCAAAAATATTACTAATAGGCTACTAGTGACTAGAAGCCTTACCAATAACATAAACAGTCAATCAGCACATATCTGTATATGTATTAGTTACTGTATTCTTAAAATAAAGTAACCTAGAGAAAAGAATATGTTATTAAGAAAATCATAAGGAAGAGAAAAAGCATTTACAGTACGTACTGTACTGTATTTATCGATACAGTAAAGTTATGTCATCTGTTGACAAGATGAATCATGTGTGTCAGGACCTACATCAATACTGTCTTATATGGTACAAAACACTGTAATGTTAAACATACTGTATTACTAACACTAGACATCAAAAATGAAAAGATAATGTGAAGAAATTCATTCTTATTTATGACAATATTGCATCTTTACGAATGTTAACATTTCTCTTGACTGTGAATGGAACATGTACAATTTGTAATTGTTTGTGTTCGTAAGTTTTGAACAATTTCAACTTTTTATAATAGATCTGTGTATATTTTATGGTAGCAAACAATAAAATAGACTATTATCAACATAAATTTTATGCATTCGTGACATACCTAACTTTTTCTTAATTTTTTTGGTAGCAAATATCCAAAAGAATTATTGTATAAGTGGACCTGCGCAGTTAAACCCATGTTGTTCAAGGGTCAACTGTATTTTAATTCTGATGAAAAGATTTTTAAAGAGTTAGCAATGGTGACCTTGTTTCCTCATGAATACAGTAGTCCCATATATCCACAGGGAATATGTTCCAAGACCTACTGTGGATAATAGCAAACCTATACATGTGTGTCATTTTTTGTATACATACATATCTATGATCAAGTTTAATTGATAAATTATGCACAATAAGTCAAGAATTAGTCCATTTCACTGATGGAAAGCACTTCATGGCATCTCTTAGGCTTTGACAAATTGCCGTTATTAAGCAAAATTAAGTTTTTTGTTTCGGCCAAGGTAAACTGTGGAAATCAGATCCGTGGATACTGGGGTTTTACTGTACCTGCCACAGTATACCACACAGCACCTTCAGCAGGAAACATTCCAGCTGAGCAGTTCATGTGACATGCTGTAATAATACTCATTCCTTGTCACTGTTAGAGTTTCTTCCACTATTTTATGACATTTTGTAACTATAAGTTTTACTGAAAGAGAGTGCAAAAATTATAGGGGGATAAGTCTGTTGAGTATACCTGGTAAAGTGTATGGTAGAGTTATTATTGAAAGAATTAAGAATAAGACAGAGAATAGGATAGCAGATGAACAAGGAGGCTTTAAGAAAGGTAGGGGGTGTGTGGACCAGGTGTTTACAGTGAAACATATAAGTGAACAGTATTTAGATAAGGCTAAAGAGGTTTTTGTGACATTTATGGATTTGGAAAAGGCATATGACAGGGTGGATAGGGGGGCAATGTGGCAGATGTTGCAGGTGTATGGTGTAGGAGGTAGGTTACTGAAAGCAGTGAAGAGTTTTTATGAGGATAGTGAGGCTCAAGTTAGAGTATGTAGGAAAGAGGGAGATTACTTCCCAGTAAAAGTAGGCCTTAGACAAGGATGTGTGATGTCACCGTGGTTGTTTAATATATTTATAGATGGGGTTGTAAGGGAAGTAAATGCGAGGGTCTTGGCAAGAGGCGTGGAGTTAAAAGATAAAGAATCACACAAAGTGGGAGTTGTCACAGTTGCTCTTTGCTGATGACACTGTGCTCTTGGGAGATTCTGAAGAGAAGTTGCAGAGGTTGGTGGATGAATTTGGTAGGGTATGCAAAAGAAGAAAATTAAAAGTGAATACAGGAAAGAGTAAGGTTATGAGGATAACAAAAAGATTAGGTGATGAAAGATTGGATATCAGATTGGAAGGAGAGAATATGGAGGAGGTGAATGTATTCAGATATTTGGGAGTGGACGTGTCAGCGGATGGTCTATGAAAGATGAGGTGAATCATAGAATTGATGAGGGGAAAAAGGTGAGTGGTGCACTTAGGAGTCTGTGGAGACAAAGAACTTTGTCCTTGGAGGCAAAGAGGGGAATGTATGAGAGTATAGTTTTACCAACGCTCTTATATGGGTGTGAAGCATGGGTGATGAATGTTGCAGTGAGGAGAAGGCTGGAGGCAGTGGAGATGTCAGTGAAAGAAGGCGGGGTAGGGGTCGGCCTAGGAAAGGTTGGAGGGAGGGGGTAAAGGAGGTTTTGTGTGCAGGGGCTTGGACTTCCAGCAGGCATGGTGAGCGTGTTTGATAGGAGTGAATGGAGACAAATGGTTTTTAATACTTGACGTGCTGTTGGAGTGTGAGCAAAGTAACATTTATGAAGGGATTCAGGGAAACCGGCAGGCCGGACTTGAGTCCTGGAGATGGGAAGTACAGTGCCTGCACTCTGAAGGAGGGGTGTTAATGTTGCAGTTTAAAAACTGTAGTGTAAAGCACCCTTCTGGCAAGACAGTGATGGAGTGAATGATGGTGAAAGTTTTTCTTTTTCGGGCCACCCTGCCTTGGTGGGAATCGGCCAGTGTGATAATAAAAAAATAATATAATAATAAAAGTTTTACTAAAGATTACTGAGCATTATACTAAATTAATGGCAAATGGCAGTAGTGTATGCATTTTGTAAATACAGAGATGGTCTTGTAAATAGAATGATGGTCTTGTAAATACAGTGATGGACTTGTACATACAATGATGGTCTTTGTACATACAGTGATGGTCTTGTAAATAGAGTACAGTGGAACCTCAAATTTCGAACGTACGCTTATAGAACTCTTCGAAAATTGACCACTTTTTTCGAACAACTTTGTCCCTATTATCGAACTAGCCCCTATTTTCGAACCGCCAGGTACCGGACCTGTCCACCAGCCTGCTCTGTCCGCGTCCCCGTGCAGGCGCCGTGAGCCAGTCTGGCTTTGTTGATACTTGAGTGAACACTACCCTGCAGTCTCATTCGAACATTTTATGATTAATTCATTGTGTTTAGTGCTTGTGGGACTGTGAAATAAGCTACCATGGACCCAAAGAAACTTGCTAGTGGTAACACCATAGATGTGAAGAAGGAAATAATACAGAAGTGGAATGATGTCCAAGTGGAATGATGTCGAAATGTTTGTGGAGAAGTACCACCCTGAGCAAGCTGAAACAAGCCATCTTTGCAACAAGTTCAGTGACAGAACCATGTCCCATTTTAGGGAAATCTTAAAGAGGCACCAGAAACAGAGGACTGTGGACAGTTATTTTGTGAGACAGGGGTCCAGTGGCTCTCAAGCTGGTCCTAGTGGCATTAAAAGACAGAAGGGAAGTAACCCCAGAGAGGGCTTTGATACCTAAAGTTCTTATGGAGGGGGATTCCCCTTCCAAACACTAACCCCAACTCCCTCTCTCCTCCTCCCTATCTTCCAGATGCTATCACCAATCTTCAATAAAGGTAAATAAAAATGTTATTTTATGTTTATTTAAATTTGTTAATAATTGTTCACTATATTTGTTGTGTGTATGTAAAACTACCTATGTAATACTACCTATAAAATGTATTGTTTTGTGAATATTTTTGGGTTTCTGGAATGGATTAATTGTATTTCCATTATTTATTATGGGAAATATTGCTTTGCCTTTCAAACTTTTCGAATTTAGAACTAGCTCCTGGAACGAATTAAGTTTGAAATTTGAGGTTCCACTGTAATGGTCATGTAAATTTAGCGATGGGTAAGTGAGAACACTAAGACTATAAAAAGTACACTATGACTTAAAAATAAAACGTCTGTTTCACCTGTTGTTGTTCTCCTTCATATCCTTCTTAAACAAAGCAAGAAGGAACTGGAGAAGACCAAGTGAGTGGTTCACTATAGTCGTGGTGCCATCAACATAACATGACTGAGAGTAATCCACCTCCTCCTCTAGGGTCAAGTGTGTCTGCAGTGCTTCTATCGCTGAGTGCACAAATGTCCAAGCTCGATTAAATTCCTGCTCCGAATTCTGTTCGAATATTAGGTGTTAAGTAATTATTAAGTCTATAATCTGGCCAATATGAGGATTATTTTCTCCATGGCCATCCCCTGCCAAGGCAGTTTGATCAAATAAAAAAACCAGATTCACCATCATCTATTTAGTCACTGTCTTTTCAGAAGTGTGTTGACATCACAATCAATTACTCTCTGACTGCAATATCTCCACCCCTTCTTCAGAGTGCAGGCACTGCTCTTCCCACCTCTAGGACTCAAGTCTGGCTAGTCAGTTTCCCTGAATCCCTTCATAAAAGTTACCACACTCACACTCCAACAAAGCATGCATTAAATATCACTTATTTCCATTCATTCCTACCTAACATACTCACAAAAGTGTGCTGGATATTCAAGCCCCTAAATTTCAACCCCTTTCTTATCCCTCTTTATTATACCCTTGGTGATCCCACATCACTTTAACCCTTTCAGGGTCCGTCCCGTAAATCTACGGCTTTACGTTCAGGGTCCAAACCGTAGATCTACGGCATGAGCTCAGCTCACTCTGATAAGCTGTGAGCGGTAAATGTGGGCCTAGATATGAGAGAATACATCTATGTGGTATGTGTGCACCACATAAAACAAATCCTGTGGCACACAGTGTATAATGAGAGAAAAAAACTGAGACCATGATTTTCGATTAAAACAGCGACTTTGCAGTGTTTTTTCGTATGTTTGTTATAGCTATATTTGTGATTTCTTGATCTCATTTGATAGAATGGAAGACATATTACAGAAATAGAGATGATTTTGATTGGTTTTAGCACTGGAAATGGCTTGAAACTGAGCTCAAAGTAGCAGAAATGTTAAATTTTTGCCGATGTTCAAGAGTAAACAAACGACCTCACACGTCTAATACACGCCAGCTGGTGGGTCTAATATGCATTCACAAATATGGTGATGATATTTATACAATTATTACAATATTGCATAACAGTAAATCTTCTATTTTTTGGTTTGAATAAAAATTCATTATGTGAATAAAAAAATCAAAATGGAATTCATTTGTAAAGCCTCAAAATATAACTAATGAACAGAGGAAATGTTAGTTTAGTGCCAGGAATACCTACATTGTTTATTCTGGACCCTATTTTGAAATTGGAATATTTTGAACTTTGTGTTAAATTGGCCAAATTACCAATTTCTAATCACTTTATTTTGTAGTTGAAACAGTTGACTTGGCGATTTCTTGTGCTCAATCGATAGAAGAGAAGTAATACTAGCGAAATAGCTAAGAATTTAGTCGACTGGAATAATGTAATTGGCCTAAAATGGGAGTCAAAGTCGGCAAAATCGCCGATTCGTAAACATCACTGACGCATCAAAATTCGCGAGAGCATAATTTCATAAATTTTCCATCAAATTTCGTACTTTTTGTTTTATTACCTTCAGAAAAAGATTCTCTACCATTTCATAAGAAAAAATAAAAAAAAATTTCTGGGGGGAGGATTCTTGGACCCTGGTGCGCACTTTGAAATTTGGCCTCTGGACCCTGGTGCGCACTTTGAAATTTGGCCTCTGGACCCTGATGCGCACTTTGAACTTTCGCCTCTGGACCCTGAAAGGGTTAATGTCCACACTCTGAATTCTTGGAATGATATTCATACCACACATTGCTCTCAGACATGATATTTCTGCTGCCTCTAGCTTTCTGGCTGCAGCATTCAAAATCCATGCCTCACACCCACATGTAAGTGCTGGTACCTCTATTCTCTGGTACGCATCTTTTCTCACTTTGCACAGATACAGGAGCTGTGAACTGACCCCTGCAGCCACATATATGTGAGTACACTACTCACCCTTTTTTCCCTCATCTATTTTATTGGTTCACCTTGTGCTTCACAGAAGCCTCTACTGACACGTACTCTCTAAAATCTCTAAATACGTCCACTTCTATCAAGCTCCCGCCTTCCAATCTGATACTCAATCTATCATTGCCTAGATTTTTACTGTTTCTCTTATCTCTTTGTTCTTCTTTCACTCTCAGCACAGACTCTTAGTTATCCAAGATTTGGACATAATAAAGGTCATTAAACAGCATGTAACTTGTTCTCCAGCGGTCAGTATAAAAAGCTTCAACTTAATGTATAGAGAAGAATTGTCTAAATTTCCATTAAATCTGAATAAAAAATAAAAGAAATCTATAGAGTACTAAGTGATAACCATAATACATTACTGTAGGTATAGTATTAGACAGTACTAAATATATAATACAGTACCATACATAAAAAATATTGAAGATTAAGGAATTAAAAGTTAAATTTGACTGTCTCTTATTTCTGAAATCCATTAAAGTTTACTTTAATCACTAGTGTATATTTATTACACCTCCAAAATAATGATGATGATGATGATGCTTGCATTATCTAAGACTGTGCCTGCACATCTAATGTACCTCCAGAATGATGATAAAACTGTTGATGTTGTATCATCTTCGACTGTTCCTGCCCTAAAGTTATGTTAACAACCCTGTGTCATATGGAAACATGAATTACCATTTGTCTTTGTGTACAGAATGGTTCTTTAGTTTTCTAGTGCTTGGCAGTATTTTTGTCTGCAATTGAACATTTGCAGGACACTATCACTCATACAACTCACATACAATACAGCCTCTCCTCACTTAAATGGAGTTCCATTCCTAAAACTACGTAGGTAAACGAATTCATTGCTGAGGAGCATACTATAATGGTAATGAGTTTGTGTCAACCATCTCTGACATTGTTTTAATGTCACCTTTGCAATATGAATAACATTTCTGGTATATTTTTAAATGTTTATACAGAAGTGTACTGTACATTGTAATAAACAGAATAGAGGAAATCAGCTCTAATATGCATTATATAGGTATGCATACTGGTCAGAGAGCCTGTTGTAAGCCCAAGTCGTAGGTATGAGTATGTCGCTAAGTGAGAAGAGGCTGTACTTGAACTGGACCTGACTGGTTGTGTTCTCTTTCTATTCACTGTCTTGGTGCTTGCAAGTGGATATGGCTATGGATAGGACTGCCTATTGATTTGTGATTTTTTTCATACTTTTAAAAATATTTTATGTGGCAGATGTTACAGGTGTATGGTGTAGGAGGTAGGTTATTGAAAGCAGTGAAGAGTTTTTATGAGGATAGTGAGGCTCAAGTTAGAGTATGTAGGAAAGAGGGAAATTATTTCCCAGTAAAAGTAGGCCTTAGACAAGGATGTGTGATGTCACCGTGGTTGTTTAATATACTTATAGATGGGGTTGTAAGAGAAGTAAATGCGAGGGTCTTGGCAAGAGGTGTGGAGTTAAAAGATAAAGAATCACACATAAAGTGGGAGTTGTCACAGTTGCTCCTTGCTGATGACACGGTGCTCTTGGGAGATTCTGAAGAGAAGTTGCAGAGATTGGTGGATGAATTTGGTAGGGTGTGCAAAAGAAGAAAATTAAAAGTGAATACAGGAAAGAGTAAGGTTATGAGGATAACAAAAAGATTAGGTGATGAAAGATTGGATATCAGATTGGAGGGAGAGAGTATGGAGGAGGTGAATGTATTCAGATACTTGGGAGTGGACGTGTCAGCGGATGGGTCTATGAAAGATGAGGTGAATCATAGAATTGATGAGGGGAAAAGGGTGAGTGGTGCACTTAGGAGTCTGTGGAGACAAAGAACTTTGTCCTTGGAGGCAAAGAGGGGAATGTATGAGAGTATAGTTTTACCAACGCTCTTATATGGGTGTGAAGCATGGGTGATGAATGTTGCAGCGAGGAGAAGGCTGGAGGCAGTGGATTTGTCATGTCTGAGGGCAATGTGTGATGTGAATATAATGCAGAGAATTCGTAGTTTGGAAGTTAGGAGGAGGTGCGGGATTACCAAAACTGTTGTCCAGAGGGCTGAGGAAGGGTTGTTGAGGTGGTTCGGACATGTAGAGAGAATGGAGCGAAACAGAGTGACTTCAAGAGTGTATCAGTCTGTAGTGGAAGGAAGGCGGGGTAGGGGTCGGCCTAGGAAAGGTTGGAGGGAGGGGGTAAAGGAGGTTTTGTGTGCGAGGGGCGAGGGGCTTGGACTTCCAGCAGGCATGCGTGAGCGTGTTTGATAGGAGTGAATGGAGACAAATGGTTTTTAATACTTGACGTGCTGTTGGAGTGTGAGCAAAGTAACATTTATGAAGGGGTTCAGGGAAACCGGCAGGCCGGACTTGAGTCCTGGAGATGGGAAGTACAGTGCCTGCACTCTGAAGGAGGGGTGTTAATGTTGCAGTTTAAAAACTGTAGTGTAAAGCACCCTTCTGGCAAGACAGTGATGGAGTGAATGATGGTGAAAGTTTTTCTTTTTCGGGCCACCCTGCCTTGGTGGGAATTGGCCAGTGTGATAATAAAAAAAAAAATATTTTTAGAATTGCTCGAGCATGTGAAAATCCTTGAAGCACAGTGTCAGACAGAGTGGCATCCAACAGAGGTGATGGTGCACTGCACCATCTGACAAGACAGTGACAGAGTGAATGATGGTAAAAGTTCCTTTATTGGGTCATCTGCCTCAGTGGGAGATGGGCAGCATGATAAAAAAAATATTAATTCTCCTAAACCAATCTTTGATTACTTTAATTTACTTTGAACTCTTATTAAAGGCAACTCACAGGCCCAAGTCTGAGGGTAACTTAGTGTCTGATATATTAATGTTTTACTGCAGGAGGGGTAGAGATATGTTGCATTTTTTTAAACTGTTTTTGTTGGCATGCAGTTAAATGGGGACTTTACCGGGATTAACTGACATTTTTTAAAGTAAAGTGTGAAGGGGGGGGTAAAACTTGAATCTTCGTCACATGGTCTTTAATTATCTAGAAATAGTGGAGTGTTTAGCACATTAGGGAAAAACATTTTAGTGGGGGAAAGGGAGGGAAAGGGTACAGTCTCAAAGATTCATTTTTTATACAGAAAAAACAAAAAATAAGAAAAAATAATCCCTGGAAGGTAGAATCCAAGACCTCGGGGAAATTTGGATCGCTTTTGGGAATTAACTGGTGGGTGAAATCCCCAAAATGTAATAAAAAAGCCCCAAGCGCTCGAGAATGACAATACCTTTTACTGGGTCTGTCAGAAGGGAAAAATTTTAAACATTTTGAAACTTAATTTAACACCCAAAACATCTGTCGCCAGTTTTTAAAATAAGAAAAAAGGGTTTTTAAATAGAGTAATAAATTTCACAAGTGTTTCTATAGGTATAAAGAAATAGTTACACAAGTCTTTTGTCGTTAGTAATTAATTGATACATAACACCCTTCACTATATAAAAAAAGGAAATCATTCAATTTTCATAATCCCTACTTTTTTTTTTTCACCTATGCAAAGGGCTGCAGGAGAAGAATTAAGTTTGATCCCCCCTTTTAAACAAATTGGGTTATTTTAAAACAATATTTTTAAAAACTTTTTGTGCTCTAATTAGCAAATTTTTATGCCTCCTTTTGTAGAGAATGCCTCCTCAGTAGATTATATGCCTCCCTGTAGAGTATAGGGTCCTCTAGTAATTATATTTTTGCCTCTTCAAAGTAGAGTACAGTGGACCCCGCTTTAAAGATCACCTCCAAAAAGGACCAAATTTTGTAAGTGTATTTATTTTAAGTGCGTTTTTTTCGTGTAT